TTCTCTGGGGTAATCACGGCATGCTGAAAATAACCAGCTTAGAGGTGGTGCACTTGTAACTGTGGACAAAGCACTTTCCGCTGGCTAGCATCTGCTCATCTACCATTTACATTTTCAATGAACGAGATATTAGAAGCACTTCATCATTCACTCATCTTCATCAGTCATCAATCATCTTCAGAATGCTATTACACTCTGCTGCAATGCATCTTTGTGGCCATTATTCTGTTTACTTCATAACTAGCAGCGTACAATGTTTACTTTTTCAGCAGCTTGAGAATAACAGTTATTTAATGGCAATTAAAATAAGATTTTCATACTAAATATAACTTTTAGTATTGAGCTTTCTGTGCTTTAAAGTTTACACATGCAGCCATTCATCATGTTTTGGAGATTATGAATGGGATTTTTGTTTTATGTTTGTGTGAAGCCATATATGGTCTAGTAAATGTGTTTTTTATTTTAAAATGATAACATTATTGAGTCATTTTTACTGTTCATGCAAGGCGGACCAGGAACTTACAGGAACTGGAGTCTTTGCCATCAGAGAGCTTCCACAACTACCACAAAAGACTCCAAGCTCAAAATACACGCCATGGGGGGATGGAAACTTATAATCAGGGTCAGAAGAGAACTTCTGTTGTCAATATGTATCTCGATATAATATATTCCATATTCATGTTATTTATATTATCATTATTATTTATATTGTCTTGACCCATTGTGTGGGACGAGGAACTAAATAGTTTATTGCCGATTCTGATCAATGTAGATGGAAAGGAGAAAGTATATGTTGCAGATGTTTTGTTTCAGCCTCCTAACTCTTTCATCATCCCTTATTCTGGTTGAAGATGTAGCGCTCCTCTGTACTTATGGTTTTCGTTGGTGTCTTTAGAGATTTCCCAGAAGCCTGTCCCTCTCCCTGCTCTTTGGCCCTAGTTTGCTCACATTCCCCTTTTGTCACATGGCCCAGCTGAGGTCCCACTACTGCGCTCTGAGCTATGTCGAATGATTATATTGTAGTGCGAGATAACAGACAGTGCGTTGCCTAGAGGCGTTCTCCTCGCTTCGCCTCCTTAAAAAGATATCGCTGTGATAAAGCGCAGCTTCTCCTCTCCTTGCGCTAAACGGAAGGGGAAGCCTTGAAGGCAAGGTCTGTTGAGTAGAAGCTAGATGAAAGAAATAAAAGATATGTTTGTACACTCTTTCAAAAGAAACATTTCTAATTAGCATAAATCTCTAAGAAGAGCCACCAGCTCAAGATTTTTTTCTTTTGTTCACGGTTTCCCTCAGCGGGTGCAGCCAGATTGGAAGCCAGATTTCACCGACTTGCAGTTCTCTGAAATTAACGGGTAGATTGTGATGTGATTGTTTGATAAAAAAAGACTTTGCCAAAAACTCAACGTTTGTTGCTGCTCATTAAAGTGAACAGATCAAAGCAGCAAGTTAAGGCGTTAAACAATATTCTTTTAAGGCTTTGTTGTGAAATCCTATGTAGAGAGCATCCAGAGGAAAGTGAAGTGAGAGATTTAGAATCCTGGGCTGTTTTTATCAGAAGCAAAACCCATGTTAAAGGCCTCCTGTCCACATCAATGAAATGAAAATGATTATGAATTGATTAAAAGAGCCACAGCATCATACACATTCAGTAATGGTGCAGTGGATAGTGCTTCACAACAATAAGGCAATTCCTGGGCCTTACGGGCCTTTCTTTGTGGAGTTTGCATGTTCTCCCCATGTCTGTGTCGGTTTCCTCCAGGTAAACTCAACCTTTGAAAATTGACTTTTTAGGTAATCTATGTAGATAATTCTTCAAATTCATGGATTAGTTTTAAAATTCACTAGAGGCTTGTCAAAACTAAGCTGAAGGCTGCCATTTCAGAACGTTTTGTATCCTTCAAGGGATTTCAGATTGTGTCAAGGCAATCTACACTACTCCCTTGTAAGTCTATACAAAGCGGCGCCCCCTAGCTGTGTAAAGAATGGCTGTGGCGCTGCAGGGACAGGGTGAGCAGCCCGCGGCCGCCTGCTGCTGGATTAATCACCCTGACACAGACCTCACTGTGCTCTGTGACCTGCTCTTTTAATTGCATCCGCTCTGCCCTGCTCCCACTCCCACTCTGTATCAGGGCCTTTCCCCTCCCACATTCTTCTCGCCTTCTCCTGCAGGTGCCCGATATTGGTTTATAAAGGCGTGGGAAAAAAATGACGATGCATTCATCCACATTCTTATCTATAAAAATGTTGTCAAAAAGCCAATAAGACACGGCCCAAAACGCGCTTCTAGAAGAGCCATATTAGCAAATAGTAAATACTGTTTTTCATGACAGTACAGTCATCTCTTGTCTCTAATTTGCACCACATGGCTGATTGGATGGCACTCATGCCTCACAGCAAGAAGGTGCCCTTGGTGTCTTATTTGCACAGCCACTGGAGTGAAATGAAACTGAGCAGAGGCACTGGGGGCAGTCAGCCAGTCTGTACAAAGCCGAGCATCAACATCTGTAGATGGGTCCCCTGGCGCTGCACTGTAGCGACCTCTGCTCCTCAGCTTTCCCTGGAGGCTACACAGGATGGGTCAAATGCAGAGTACAAACTGCCCTACGGGGACAATAAAATATCTTAGTTTTAACCTGATCCACAGCGAAGCTTTTAAAGTATGTGCTCAAGCCAGATGGGGCCTTTTAAAGTGGTGTTTCTTCTTTATGCTCAGGTCTCCTCCACCGGTAAAAGCTTCTCTCTAGCATTGTAGCACCCTAATTTATCATCGATCTGAAAGCCAAAGTGATGATAACTTTTAAAAAAACGAAATGAATGTATCCTGGCATTATACACTCAAAAAGACATGCAGCTTACATGATTACACTCTGTGGACTGTTTGCGATGACAGGATAAAAGTGGCGGTGCTGATGTGGGAGTGCAGGTCTCTCAGATGTGCGTGCCTGCCACTGCGCTTGCAATGTGACATGGTTTTATTCAGGGCCATAAGTGCAACAGCAGAATATAACCACCGGCTGATGTTTTGTTGGGAAAATGTACATCATACAAATGCATTCTGACAGCCCACGCTCACCTATGGGTGCAATGTCACCCAAAGCCCATTTACTCATCAACTGGAATAGATTCATATGCAAAAAGCTCCCACTCCGTAGTTCTGCTGTTTTATTTTTTTCAATCTCTCTCGCCCAAGTAGCTGCAACAAACACTCCAATCGCCGCGGTCTGCCTTTGTGTAACCGAGCTGTCACCAGGAACTGTGTGGGCTTTTGTTCAAGCACCAGGTCTTTGGAGGCGAAGAAATCATTTCCAACAGCAGCCAGAAAAAAAAGTTCTTTTGAGGAAAGTCACATTATACCCACCATGGTAAAAACAGCAGCATGTAAATTGGATTAGTTATGAGGCCTCCTGTGGGTTGCACTGGGCTGGGTTTCAAAATCAGTTTGTATGACGGGATGCCACGAGTTTGAGACGTTTTTTTTTTTTTCTCCTAATAAATAACTTCATTACTAAATCGCCTTTATGTCTTTACCTTCCTATCATAGCTGCATGTAGTTACTCCACCGCCCACTGCGCAACTTTCTCTTGCTTTTTACCATGTGGGTGAATTTGAAGCAAAACAATATGCCAAAAAACGAACACCTTCCTCAGTAAAGTTGGACCAAAGACCAATTTCTTCTTTATTGACAGAAAAACATGAAAAGCAGGATATTTTGATCTGCCGGGGAAAATGTTGCGTTTGCGTGCTTTGATCCACTCCATAGATTTTTCTTATTCCAAATCCTCAATTTCACTGCTGAGTATTGAAAGTTTTGAGAGTACCCCATCATTTGTGCGTCTTATCCCTTTGCAACAGGTGCACATGCCTCTGCAGTGGGCTTTTGTGCGCTCTTTTGAGTTTGTTTTTGGATTGCCTTATCAAAGCACCCTTAATGGCTGGGAACATACTGTGTGTTCCATGCTTTTAGCCACATTCGTCTGCCATTCTTCATTCAGACTTTCCTGTCTATCATGGCATCGGCCTGGCAAAAGTACTGTTATTTGCAAATTGAGTGGGTGGTATTGATTTTCTTTTGGCGTGATCAAGCCCTGGGGTAGTGAAAAGAATGTTTACTAAGCGCTGTGCCACTGTCACCTGCTAAACCTGTGTGCATTCATCCCCATGCACTGTTTAGAACGCTTAATTCATTGGAGGAAAAAAGGAAAATTGACAACATCACTTAATTTTATCGCGCACTGCTAATTGAGGTAAAACGTTCATTCAAAGGGCAATTTTTAAAAAAACAAACAAAAAGTTAGAAATTTGTTTATCTGGCAGCCACGTTTGCGCAGTGGGTGGACCTCACAGCAAGGTGCTGCCCATGTGCTCCCATTTCCCCTACCTCTAAAAACATTCACATAAGTTCAGGATGAATGAGTTTGTGAGTGCTACTGTAGGACTGTGAAAATTAGCTCGGGCTAAGGCTAACATCTGGTGTATCCGGAGCACCCAGAGGAAACCAACGCAGACACGGGGAGACCATGCAAACTCTTTATCTCGATAAACATCAATAGGGAAGTTTTTATCCAAATACCTCTGGCTACTATTGACTTCCATTGAAAAGTAAAGTCCTCTGGCTCAGTAACCGTTTGTATCATACTCTGTCAGTTGTGGTTTAGCACTTAGTTTGTCCGCTCCTGAAGTACTGTTCATGATTCATGTTGATCTTTGAGAATATTTACTTGGTATTTCATGTTTTGGAATAAAATCCCCATGTCTGCTCCTCGGGCTTCACTAATGTGCAATGGGAAATTGTTCATTGTTCATTGTTCTTTCTCATTCAAAGACAATAGATAACATTCAAAGAGTTAGAAACATTATTATTACTATGTTGCAGTATGTGTCCTGAGAAGAACAATAATCACTATCATAAAAACCTGATTGTCAAAGGAGCTGCCTGGTGATTTGATGAAAGCACATATCCAGGCTCTTCATGGTTTGCACGGTATTGGAAGAAGCCCCGGATGTCGTTGCTGTGGGAGGATGAAGCCAGGGAGGGTGCGGAGGATGAGGACTGCAGGTTAGCACAGTACAGAAGAGGCGTGAGAGTACAGAGCTCAGAGGCAGATGTGACACGGGGAGACAGGCAGGAGACAGGGGGACAGCTGTGGGCGGCTTCACATGAAGCAGCCAGGGCTCTGCACCTGCCAGCCACACTGTGTACAGCAAACAGCCCATTAGCTCTGGGAAAGACCCCACACGCTTTTTATGCTTATATCGCCTACATGCAGTCACAATTCAGAACCATTATGTAGCACTTTTATTGGCTATATTGTTTATATTTGTTCATGGGGTTTAAATAGTTTGAGTTCTATAATGTAATATTGTGGTAAAACAATTAATGCTAATCTGTGCTTGTGCGTTGTACATATTTCACGCTTATGTAAATCTGCACTTTATTTATCCCCGTAGGGAACATTGTCCTCTGCATTTGACCCATCCTGCGGTGCCACTAGGGCCTTGGTCAGCGCAGTACAGCACCCGGGAACCCGTCTCCAGATGTTGATGCCTGGCTTGGTCAGGACAGTACCTATTGTGCATGTTGCCATCACCTTTTCAAGCCAACTGATGGTATTGGGTTGTAAAGATGTAAAGAATGTGTAGCATTTGTATTCATGATGTTGTGGGGACCAAAATCTATTATTTTGACTTGCTATGGTGTTTTTAATCTCTATTGGATTGACCACATGATTAACCATAAGATTACAACTAAATTAAAAAGATCCAATCAGCTCTACCTCCAAAGCATCAAACAGTGACTCCCAGGTTCACTATATGTTTAACAGTGCGAGCCAGAAAGATTATCCCCAGCTTCTGGTGTTGTCACAAAACTGCAGGTACACAAAAAAATACTATGTGAGTAATAAATTCTTCAAACTTGAAATTGAGGTGCAACTTGGAAAAATTAGATAGCAATTAGCTTGAAATGTGAAACTAATTTATCAAAGACTCATTACACACCAAGTGAGATTTTTTACACATTTGATTATTAGAATAACAGAGAGATAAAATATAATAATAGTAATAGATAATAGTTTACAGCTTGTAAAAACCCCAAATAAAACATATTGGAAAACTAGAATAGTTTGAAAATGGTCACTAAATTATGACCAACAAAGGCTTTGTACGTAAAGAATCTTTAACTTGTGTTGGTGTCACATTTTTTTGGTGGGGCGACATTGGCTCAGTCGGTGGAACATTGGCCTCTGGGCTTGAAGGTTGTGGATTCGATCCCAGCACCAGACCTACTTCACGACTCCCACTGATGTCTGATGTTGTTGTGTCCTTGGGCAAAACACTTAACACCACTCTGCCTGAAGATCAAGGCAGCTCCATCCTCCTGTGGACACTCCTGCAGGAGGATCAGTGAGGGGCTGGTGCTCTGTGAGTTGGCTGCAGCAAAAATTAACTTTCACCTGCATATACTAAAATCAATGTGTCTAGTTCCTCGCTCTCAAAGCCACTGACTCTATCACTAGTTTTAACATCCACATATCAGCTTTTTTCAGACAGAAGAGTGAAAAAGACGACCATGGTTGATCACCTTCAGAACCAAAGCGTCAAATAGTGACCCCAAGAAGAATGAAAAATATATGATCTGTCCATGTTTTGCGATTTGTTTCAGTGATACTTTCTCAATTGATTCTTTAATCTAGTTTTTATACATATGACTGTTGGATAGTTGAAACACTCGACAGAAGTTTCATTCAGCAAAGCAATAGTCATCCTTTTCCAACTCGGCCCAACTTGAAAATAAAAGTTGTATTGATTGATTGCATTGATTTGTGTCCCAAACAAGGAAAAACTCCAGAAACATTGACATGGAGCACTTGCAGTTTTACCACCGGCCTTTACAACTCTGTCTCCCTGTTGCGCGGTGGGGAATCTTGAAAAACCAGGACCCAACCAAAGCCTTGTCCATGCGAGTGTGTCCAGCCAGCGATGTGCAGTCACGGCTGCTTGAACGGCTCTGTTTTAGCCTCTTCTTCCGTGCGCTCCATTGGACAGCGTGTTCTCGCTCTCTCCAACCGGTTTGGGGAAGAGCACTCGGGCAGAATGGCACACTAGCCTCAGATGCCTGCCAAACACCGTCGTGGATGGGAGCGTTCACTAAAATATATACACGCTCCACTCTGCTTCACACACGGGGGAATGAGGCCGCTCACTCTCACAAGCTTTACAAAGACGGCGGAGGATTTGCTGTCAACACCAAACCGCTGCACAGGAAGCCAGCCGTGGTGAACCCGGGCAAACTCTCGTGTCCCAGATGTTGCCCCTTGAACTTGATAAGGTTGAGAAATGTGCCCACGGTGACGCTTTTGTAGTCAGGCCAGGTACGAGGTTTGATCTGGAATTGTTAAAACACAATAGTTCAGGTTGAGTGTGTGTGTTTGTGAGTGCGACCGTGGGACTGCGGTAATACAGATGGAAATGAGGCTCCAAACGCTTCGCCGCAAGAAGGTCAACCACTCAGCCACCAGTGGATGAAACTAATCCATGGTTTATAGCGCTCTGCGAACCTGGTGTTTTTGTTTTGAACTGTCTTTGAAAATGAGCCTGAACAACTGATCAACCCGCTGTTCCCAAATGTGGGTATATCGAGCAAGCAGCAAGAGAGGGGACGGACCTGTTCCTGATTGGCTCTTGGTTGCTAGAGTAAGAGATTTTTTTTTTAATTTCAATTAGTATAGCTATTGTTCACTTATCTTGTGCCGTGTGCTCCTCTTTCCTACTGTTCAATAACATGCGATGCAACACTGAAATTTCCCCACTGTGGGACAAAAAAAGGATCTCTTAATCTTAATCTTAATCTTGCAGGATAATCTTAAATATCCTGTTCAAGTGCAATCGTGGGTGAAGTCAGCATTTTAGTTATTCCACTCTTTCTTTTAAATGTATGTCTGGAATGCAGAAGTGCAGCATCGAGATGGTGAGGACACATTTAGCTTTGTATTGAAACTTTTTAGTTTTGCTGGGCTTTTTGGTGAAACTTATAAAATTAGAATACTGTTTACTAGTTCATTTATTCCCGGAATTCAACTTCAAACGTGGAACTATACATATTTGATGTGGACTTATTACATTCAAAGTGACGTATATATGTGTCAAGCCGGAAAATGGCGCCGTGGCGAGAGCTCTGGTGTGTGCTGTCTTCTCTGTCTGGTGCACTGGGGTAGTCTTGCACAGTTTTTCCAATGTGGTTTTACTGCAAATGGCAAATAAATTATTGTGTCTTGTATTTATGATTACGGCTTATCATCTGAGGTGTTTTATTTGGGTTTTTAACAAGCTGTGGACCAATTATCAAGAAATTACAGCTTATAATGAGTCTGTCATCTATCAGCTTCACATTGTAAGTTGAATTACAGAAGAAAATACATTTTTAAACAATATTCTATTTTTACGAGTTTCATCTGCACTTTGATTGCGTTTCATAGTCCCACTATAATTTTTCATTTTCATGCAAACGGGACTCCTTGTGGGGAAAATTGAGTACAAATTTTGAGCTCTAAGAACTAAGAAATATTGATTGCTATAATTAATATAAGTCATTTTGATTTGAATGCATCTGTCTACTTAGCGCTGTTTAAAATGTGAACTTTCCAAGGGCTGGTGACACACGCTGCATGGCCTGGCTCATGGAGGGATCTGGCTGCTGATTTCTGACTACTTATGCTAATGTCCTTGGGTTAGTGTTTGATTTTGTCACCAGTTGGACCATCTGTGAACACTGTGGCAACAAACAACACACTGCTAATGAATATAAAACGCTATGGAGTAAAATGAGATTTCACATTTTTGCAGTCGATTCTAGTGACTTGGTGTGCCGCTCTATTGCTCTAAATGAGTAATGATGACACATTTAGGCACTGAGATAGGAAGGAGAAAGACGAGGAGATATACTTGCAAACAAAATGAATTATTATTATTGGGGTTGTGCCAAAATATTGATATATCCCACACAATATACAGTAATGCTAGGGATCATTGATATGCTATGTTTTGTATTGATATGTCACCAACCAGCCAAGTTCTAGTTAAATGCATGTAAGTCAAAAAGGCAGTGATTCCCAGCCCTAATTAGAATACAGATTTGGACAATATAATGAGAAAAGTTTTATCTCGTTATATTTGATTTAATATTATGTATCTAGTGTTTGCATCTCATGAGCATATATCAGTTCATCTCAAAGTGGCAGGCTTATCATACCACATCCGTTATCGCAATCATCTGGCCTCCTAATGCAGTTTCTCTCTGCTGCTTTCATCTGTGACATGAATGTGTTATGAAAAGAAGATCTCAAGTGAATAGGGGATATGAAAAACTATTACCCGGGCCAAGGTCCTGGTCGCTGGTGAGCTGGCAGCAGGTTAGAACATCTCCAGCACAATTTTCCACCCACATTCAAAGAGACGTATGTGCTGCAAAGCTCACTGAAAAATGTCATTTAGTGCTGTGTATATATTGGATAGTTCTGAAACGTAATGAAATGAGAAAAGTGCGCTGGAAGGTCTTGTCCTTAACTTGGCCTAAACCATTTAGCTTTTAGGTTGAATAGTTTTAGCTTCCAATGGCAAACATGTTCTCCCCTTTGCCCTTGCCTGGCCTTTGTGGTGTCATTCATTATTGAAAAACTATATCAATCATGGAAGTTTTACTTTTCAGCTGTAGTAACAGTGAGAGAGTGGTTAGCACTAAGGTTGTGCATTGCCTTGTATTTGGCGAAAGGCTACGATACTATATATCCCGATGCTAAATTAAAAGGCGATTATTACAGTTTTATTATTATAACATTGGAAAAAAGTAACAACACAGACGCTCTCTCAACATGCTTCTGTTTCTCTCATGTCTCATTTGTGAGCAGGAGTTGATATATAAGAATATATATTGTGATACATTGCCAAAACAACAACACCCCCAGTTAGTGTGGAACTGGGCCTTGGTCTGGGATGGTTTCCAATGGACGTTGAGGTTTTACCCGGTAAAATCCTGCACCACTGCTCCTCATAGAGGCCCAAGTGGCATTGTGGCTCTTATGCTGAGCAGCAATGGAATAGTATTGCATGTTTTGTAAACACAAGGGGCCATCCTCCAGACATAAGGGTGTTAACTGACACGTTTGTAAGAATGCAGTCACTTTTTTTTTTATTCATCGGAGAGAGTGTACTGTGCTCAGAATCATTTTGTTAGTAACTTGTATTGGTTTGTCCCTATAGCCCTCCTCTACTGCCCCGTCACAAGAGAGCTGTCTAACAACAATTAGCCCTTTTCATTCAAGCTAATTGAAGTAATTTATACAAGGTTGCTGTCACAATTCATCTGCGGGACAATCTGAGCCGGTCCCAGCCTCGTTTTCACGTCCTGATATCAATCCAGCCGTGCCTTGATGAACGATCCCAAACGCCTTGTAATAAAACCGCACCCAGAGCTGGTGTCACTCGTAAAGATGTCCCCCATTGGGTCCTGTGTTTCTTTGTAGATTTAAATATGAATCACTTTTGTCGTAGTAAACATTGCCCACATTGTCAGCGGTGTGTTTACTTCCCATCACATTACACACAATTACTCCCAGGGTTACAAACAAGTATACCACAGTACACCACAGACACATTTGTTGTTGAAGGAAAGCGTTCTTTGGACCTTTGACAATGTATATCATATTTTTACTTGATGTTAAGAATTTCTCATTTAAAGGAGACATATATATGATATTACACTCAGAGCAGGTGTCTGCCTTTGAAAACAAAACTATTAATTGCACACAATATATTTGTTATAATATGTCTTGACACATTGACTTTAAAATTTCATAATGTTATAATGTTAGAAAGACCTATTACAGGACCGAGACAGTTTTGAGACAGAAGGCCCAGTGTGGATAATTCTAAAAACGCCAGATCTGTTGGAACATGGTTAAGGGATCAACTAATTTTCGCATAGTATGTTCTCATTATGGAATCCAACGGTGGTACAATGCGTTGTATATAATCAGACATGCATGTTTACTTTAGCGTGGGATGCAACGTTCATTTGTTACATTGCATGGAGTGGGGAATCGTTTCATCATAATGCGTTGGAGAGATGATTACTAATGTGCTATGTCATGAAAGGGCTCCATGAAGGCTCTCGTCAGGGGGCCTGTTGGAACTCACTTTATCGGTAATGTACCTCTTGTGTCAGCTGTCGGACGAGATGCACCAACAGCACAATCGTTCAGAAGACAATATGTTCCATGTCTGCAGTCGCTTCGCTGATAGACTGTGCTTACATGTCACGCACCATTTCTTCTCCTAATGACATCATCCACCTGTTCTCATTCCGATGCCGCAATATTTCAAGTGCAGTAGAGAAGTCATACTGTGGCTTATGTATGAGAGCAACTGCTAAATGTTTGAAATGAAGGTTTAAAGCAAATGCACATTGTCAAAGTAAAAGTCAAGTTTTCAGGACTTGTCCCTTCCCATCAAGTTTATTTATACAGAAAATTTAAAAGTGCTGTACATCCCACATGTAAAAGCAGTGAAACAAAAAAAAGCCCACAATATAGAAGAAAATATAGTACAATAGTGTTGATAGAACATAACAATTTACAAGGGCTTTCGAGAAGAGATGGCTCCAATTGTGTGAAAGGCCAAAGAAAAAAAAAGCATTTTTACTGTGCAAATTGTATTAGTGTTGTGGGATGGGAAACTTCAGTGTAAAAGTTAAAAAAGGCACGCACATCCAGAGGCTCACTAAGCATGTTGGACTCAAGAAGAGTAAACGTGTCAAAGAGAAAGAAGGTCCACATAGATATTGGGCCCTCAAGTATGATTTATTAACAGACCCCTCAATGTTTTGGGTAAGTGGTCCTTCATCAGACATCCGAGTAGCCAGACAGTCCTGTCCACTGTCTCAGTCAATCCATGTGCTTGTCTCAGTCCAAGTCCAGCTCCCGTCTTAGTCCAAATGAGTGTTTCTCTGGCAAGTGTCTTTACAGTGTCTGTGCCTCTGTGAGATAAGAGCAAATGGCTTTGAGTTGGAGAATGTTATCAGTGCATGAAAATTAGTATACCAACCCTGTCAGCTGTGAAGTCTGGATGGGCCGCTGACCCAACGTTAAACCTGGTGCAGAGCAGAGGATGGATGATTCCATAATCCCAAGGGGCAGAGTGTTCAGAAAGAGCTTTATATGTTTGTTAGAAGCATGCTATTTCTCATGACTTCTTTTGTGAGCAAGTCAAGCAAAACCTCCAAACGTCATTCTAGACCAGGGGTGCTCAATACGTCGATCGCGATCTACCAGTCGATCGCAAAGGTAGTATTGGTAGATCGCATTAAATAAATGAAAAAATTACACATTCTAAACGAATATATACAAAAAACTCCGGGCAAAGTGGAGATTTTTGAAAACTCCGTTAATGCATTTGTGTGTAGACAGAGATAACCGGAGTTTTGCGTTCTCGCACGCCACAGTACCCCCTTAAATTCTTCTGATCACTGAAGCATGGATCATACGACCTTAAAAATTGTCCGCTGTGAGATGCTCGCAGCAGCGAACATCCTCCACATCAGAGAGCAGCAAAGTGATCGCGGGGACTCACGCTCGAAAACAACCAAACCAGGACTAAACCAGGACTAAACCAGGACTAAACCAGGACTAAATCAGGGCTGAGGACGGGGTCAGTGCTTGTAAACATACGTCTTTAGTCTTCTATGACTGTAAAAGTGCCGTTACCGGCGTCTGCATCAAAGCTCCGCCCACTTCTGTGTTTTTCCCCAACGCAGGACAGGACGTAAGAGACGCACGTGTTTGGAATGTTACGAATGTGATTGATAACGCAGATGTGTGGATGCAAATTATTTTATAAACTGAGGAGGGGAAATATTTGGATTTAAAAAAAACCAGGCATGGCACATGGACATGGCACCACAGTAAAATTACATCTGTGTTTTACTCAGTAATGTTTTACTGACACTTAGGTGACTGCACATGCGCAAACAACCGCGCTCAGTGCAGGAAAGCTAAACCACGACAAACTTGTCAGCGAGTTACCACCAATTTTCCGGACTATGCATCCCTGGCCGATTCAATTCAGTGCAAGTCATCAGAGTAAACTCGGGTAATGACAAAAAATGTACATAGGTAATTGTGTTGTGTTGTGCTAAATTGGCTCATGCGGTTTTGCATGTACATAAACATACATTGTAGGTATAACGAATATTTTTTGAAATAAATATATGATTTGCATTTTTGTAGTAGGTAGATCATTTTGACTTGATCCTTTTATAAGTAGCTCGCATGCTGAAAAAGTGTGAGCACCCCTGTTCTAGACAGTTTGCATAAAGCCCAAAATACAACGGGCCCAGTCAACACTTTTTTTCTTTTTAGTTATTCTTTATATCATTCCCCTGAAGATGCCGGGGAAAATGCAATTTTGACAAAGCCATCCATTCCTTTTCACAAAAGAATTAGGTCTCCTCCAGTGAATTCCAGTGCAGAAAGCAGATAAGCAGTTTGTTTAGTCAAAGATCTCAAATGGTTTGTGAAGTGACAGGGAGGGGATGAGATATTCTGCGATACGTTGTGATGGATGTGGGTTAATCTTGAGCCTGCCAGATGTGTCGAGGATTGGCCAAGAGTTGACGAGGTAAATCTTCTGCCTACTCCAGGAGCCCCTCTTTGGATCGACTTTTACAGATGAATTAAAACTTGGTGAAACCTGATTCAATAAAAAATAAGAAACTTTTCAAAAAGGAAGCACTGAGGTACATGAAAGAGCAAAGAGCGGGTGCAGAGAGGTAGGATTGGGTCAGAGAGTGTTTGGGCCTGTGTCTTGCCTGAGTATGTTTGTTGAAAATCAAGTTGTTGCGACATGACTTGTGGGGCACCACAAAGATCAATACTGGGACCCACTGTATTCATAATGTACACAATTCAGTTCTACATGAATTTTGCAATGTGTGTAGGTTTGAAATAAATAAAAATCACTAGAACTCCCAGACCTCTCAATTGAATCGATTTTAATTTTGGAATTTTAATTAAATCAGCTCATATACTTATTTGATCTCCATGACTTTTTTTGTTTATGTAGTTTATTTCTACATCATTATTTTTGCAAGCTCTACTGACATACTGTTAACTTGCTACCAGTTAGTTTTAGCTTTTTAACAAACTGTTTTCTGTATTTCAAGTTATATTCATCAGTTTTGGCACTTGTTAAAAGTGAATAAAAGTAAATTGGAATAAAACTGATGGTAAACTTACTAACCTTTCAGATTTCCATTGATTTGTGTGCGAGCAGTCAAAAGGCTCTGAGAGTTCTAGTAGTTTCAAACTTTTGTTAGTCCTCTTGTTAATTAGCTGCCCTTTCCCCTGTCTGCAGTGAGGTTTGAGGATTGCCAGCGCAGCCGAGAGGTGGGCTATGTGAGCAGCGACCCCAGCTTCAGCGTGCGGTCTGACGGGAGCGTGTACACGGCGCAGGAGGTGGCCAACCTGTCTGAGCCCGTCCAGTTTATGGTGACCGCCAAAGGGAAGCATGATCCACACATCTGGGAGACTACGGTCAAGCTGGCTCTGACTGGACACCCACACACTCTGCTACTGAGCAAGGTAAAGCAGGAAACCATTTCACATGCCAGGTTGCCACATACATGTTTTTGGGGGTTAATGCTTCAAAGCACAAGAAATTTATTTATTTAATGACGTCCATCCTTGATTAAACGTTTTCATGTGTAGGTATTTTTGGCCTCATATTTTCACCTTTTTCAGAAAAAAGAATGAAACCCTCCAGTTAGCTCTGAGAGTGCTCAGAGCACTTTTAAAAAGACTTTCTGTTTGGAAAGAAAAACAGCATTCCCCTAACCCTGGTTGAAATGCTACAGCTTCAAAAATGCATAAGAGTAAAAACAACTCAATTTCATTTGTAATGTTTTGTCTTCCATAAAAACAGTATAATTACTGGTTCTGTGGTCTGAGGATCACAAAATGCGTAAAAACAATCGCAACTACAGTTTTTGTTAATTTTCACAGTCCTATTGTAAGATTATTTTTCACTCTTAGTCCTTTGTTTAAGTCACTACAATTACAATCACACTGTTTTTGCCAGAATCCAGCTCCAAAGCACTATTTACTAATGATAATAATGCACACAGAAATATAACAACACAACGTACCTGTGTTTGTTTGAAAAGGGACTGGATGAACCAAAACGCTTATTACTCCAATCCTCCCCAGCCATTCAGAATAACAATAATGGTTCAGTGGGAATCAGTAGAAAGTCTCCACGGACTGAAAGTGGAATATTAGACATGTGAAGTGTACGTATAGTAGCTGTGTCTCTGCCTCCTCCTCCTCAGCACCACTCGGGCGTTATCATCTCCTGCTGCATTACTTGTTGAACTGTGTCAGCCTTAATGCTCTGTCATGTTTCTAATCATGACAAAAAGCCCTGTCCCCTGTTGCTTAAGCAATTCAGAATGGGGGATTAAAATTCTGCCCACTCCTGATGGTGCAATAATGGAGACTGGAAAATAATTGACATTGATTGAGCTAATGTTCCACCCTGGCAGCGGCTGCGAGGGCCAGGTGATCTAGTTTCACTCTATAATTATGTTCTCCGTATCGGCGAGCAGGAGAAAGATTCAATAAATGAACAAGAAATAAATGTGTTTCCTCTAATTACCTAGAAACCAGCTCTTAAAGGTATATAATTCAGATTTCACCCTCCAGCCGTGTTCATATGTACTTGTCGAGCACTTTTAATAGCGCTTTTCTCCTCGGCCGGAAATAACAAACTCTCCCTGAAGCCATGTTTCTAATACATGCTTTTGTAAAATTATTATGTTATAGATTTATCATAAATATGAGCCAGGCCTTGAACTGTAAAAGCCCAACATAAAAGGATTTGCGTTTATTTATTTGATTTTATTTGAACAACAATGAATCCAAATGTTCAACCATTTTCTAGAAATGTTCTTGAAACAGATTGTTTTCTGAAACTGTTTTGGGCAAAAGTTGTGAACGGGGAAATGGTGATGCTTTGCCTATAGCTCTTCCAAAGTAGATCACTCATTTGAATTAAATTATTGCATTTGTCCCAACAGTAGGTAAGTGTGAAAAGAAAATATGCTGTCTTCATCTTCAAAACGTACATTTGTGTATAATTGTCAGAAAGAGCCTGAACGAGAAAGTCTTTCCTCTTTTTTTCAGTTTATGTCTGAAAAAGCTGATCTCAGAAACTAAAGTGCATGCATTTGAAAACAAGAACCAAAGTGGGGGGTTGTAAATTAGGTGCACCAATCTACTGTACAGAAAACTTTCAGATTGACTAAAAACCATTCCATGCTTTGCTTCTATGTTGCCTATATCCAGCGTTACCCTTAAATGATTCCCAAATGATGAAATGATTCTGTAAAAGATGCCATAAAACACACAACAAAAATAATGTCCCAACAATGACTAATAAACAGTTTTATTGCTTCATAAAATTGATCCCAAACAAGATATCATCAGAACTTTTATCCAGTAAAGATTGATCCTCTTTTTAAAAGTTTCAGCTCATCTGTTTCATCCACCACCACAGTTTGTTGGTTATTGATACAAAAATTGTTATTTCTTATTTCTAGCAGGCATTTGTCTCAGTCCCTTTGTTTGTTTGCCCACCACAAACAAAGATCTTTTATTTGTTTATTCTTCTGGCTAAAATGTTGAAGAATATCCCGTCTGTTCACTTTTTAACAGAAGAGATAACACGTGTCTGTTAAATAATGAAAATCCATGAAACCTGCAGATCATTCTTATAAAGTCAGTGCAGAAAAATGTCAATATTCGTCCATGGTTTTCTATAATCAGTCCCACTGTAAGGACTCGCCTCTCAGCGGAATTCTGGGACTTTTCTTATTTTTTATTTATATTTACCAGGACAATCCAATGAAGATTCTTTTCCAAGGGCGTCCAAGCCAACTGGCATTCACAAAAAAAACCTTCAAAACATTCTCGTTATAAAAACATTAAAATATTAGCTGCACAATTGAAAGAAATACAACAGGTCATTAATTCCCAGTACTTTCTCCTGAAAGTACTGGGTACTGGTACTGGTCAGAAGACTTTTCTGTTAGAAATTCCGGTCCGTTGGAGCGTGAAACAGAAAAGACGTCTTGCCATTTTCTGTCTTGTTGCTGCATGGGAACAGTATGAGTGTAAAGAATAGACAAGGCAAGCTCATTTGTAAAGTTCAGTTCATGCACAAGGCAACTCAGTGTTTTTAAAATAATATGAAAGGAAACATTTCAACCATTTAAATAAACATTAAAATCATGTGAAGATAAAACAGAAATATCACAGCTCATGGAGACACGCTGAGATTTCAAAGTGCAAAGTGAAATAAAAATAAAGGCTCAGATGTGGAGGAAGAAGATCCACAAGTTCTTTATAAATCAGCCGCTCAGATAAAGTTAGTGAAAAGCAGATTTTATTTTCCTTTGAGGTCAAATTAACTGCTCGATGCCACAGAGTCATCCTTGTATTAGAGATTCTGAAAAATAAAATAGAATGAGGGCAAAGTAAGTCAATACCATAGAGCATTTCTTTGTTGAGTTATCAAGAGCCAATCAGGAGCAATGCTACTTGCTAGCTAAACCAGAATTTTGTGATGAAGGCTCCTGATTGGACAGTGGTTAATCAGGAAACACTAGGATTGCAGTGAGGATCCCATAATAGTGAGTGCTACACAAACTGAGCTAGAGCAGTTTTACTTCCCTAACGTGTGTCAAGAGGACCCAATGCGAGATGAAGCTAAACTTTGCCCATGAACACTTCCCTATATGGCTTCATTGAGGTAGCGGGTTTGCTTTTTTCTATCTTTAAAACAGAATTTAAAAAAGTATTCCCAATGTCTTGAGCCTAAGAGAATATACTTTAGATATGCTTGACAACTATAACTATACATGTTAATACATAGTGCACGTCGTGGCCCCTTAAGCACAAATCTCATATTGGTTAAAAAAGTATGAAATATATATGAAACCTGGCCATACTTTTGAAATGCCCCTGATCTGTTTATTTGCTGTTTGGGTGCTGGGGTGATTTCATGCTGTAAATGTGGTGCAAATGGAGCGCTTCTAACATGCTGCAGGCAAGGTCAGCTCTGTGGACAGGGCGTGCTCTGGTCACTTCTGACTTTCTGTCCTCTCTGTGCACTCACTCAGAAAGTTCAGGCTCCAAATGTTTACTGAATGCGGAACGAGTGGAAGAAAAATATAGAGAGTTGGTGTTCAATTGCAGCCTTAGTTAACTGTAAGAAATGTAGAAACAAAACTATATTCAAATCAAGAATATCGATTGTTGATTGCTTGTTTATTCATTCCAGCAGAAATTATACATTCATAAGTATTTATATTTACATTTCTTTCGCTTATGAAGAACTTTTGTACATTGCTATGTTGCCTACTGCGCTTACAGTTATTACATTATTTACAGGTAATTATTAGTTACCTAATGTAACTGTAGTTCTACAAATAGGTGCGTCGCTGTTGGAAATGTTGTTTACAATTTCCATTTACAAATGTATTTCTATTTCCAATTTGTCAGCTCCAAATGAAAGAAGTAAAAACTTATAGACTAGTGTCTTATCCCCAAAAAATGAACACAAGCAGAACATTTGACAGACGAGTTATGAGAAAAGGGAAAGAAGTTTTGCCTCAAGTATTAATTTTATGACAATATAAAAAGCTGGTAGACAGTTCCCACAAGCCGCTCAAACTCATATTATGTGTTTGTGAATCGTATGGCCTTGTTGGATGTTTGAGTGTTGCCCTTGTGCGCCAATAACCCTTCCAAGTTCCTAATGCAAACACCAGCGCACTTTTCAATTAGAAATCCACCAGCGTGGCGTTCTGTTTTTAAACTCAGTGACTTCATTTCCCATTTTGGAAAAACAACAGCGAAATGAGAGATAGTTATCTGAGCCTTGAGCTTTGTTTTTTCATTGCACATTTAATTTCAATAGACAGTTATCACAATAATGACACCTACACAGTTCTTATCATTCTATCGTCATGGGTTACAGATGAAAGCACTATTTTTCTCATGTGTAGTCATTAAAGGGCAAAAGCAGGAACACTACTTAACCGGTGAAACTAATGAATCAAGACATGAGCAAGCTGAAAAAATGTATTAAAAAAGTAACATTTGCATACAGGTGATTGTGTTTCCGTTGGTTGATGGGGACGTGGTAGAATTCTGCACTTATTTATTGAAGGAGAGAATCAAATTTTCATGTTTACTCATTCCTTTTTACTGAAAGCAGCACTTTGGAAACGGTGATGTTTATAAAATGTGTTAGGAATATGAATAAAGTGGAATGGGTTAAGGATGTGGATAGGGAAGTCTGGGCATCTCTGCTTAGACTGCTGCCCCCGCGACCCGGCAACGGATGAAGCGGAAGAAAATGGATGGATGGATGGATGGGTTGGATTTGTAATGACATATGCTGGTCTGAGTAACGTTGGCAAAGTACATGAGAATATCAAGGGGGAAGTTAAAGGTTCAGCCACATGTGACCCTTTCCACATTTCCACGTTCACCAGGAAGTTATGTTAAATGTGGTTAAACCTGTCATATTAACTTTAAATTGTACATTGTGAGCTCTAGCCTTGGAGAATAATGTTGATTAAAGTGATGAAAAATGTCAGTTTCTGTTAAAAAATGACAGTAATGAAGTGCTGCATACTTGTAGACAAAGCTCCAGATGCCATGGGGCCGCAGGGGTTGGGGAAAGTTGGCGCTGTACGGTGGCCCCGTGCACAGAGCGTTTTCTGCCTGGGAGCCACGCGCTGCCACCTGGACCTCGCGGGTCTCACAGGGGGGCCGCTAACCAACTCCTGTCATGTTCCGGGGACCCCTTCACAATAGGAGACATGTTGGCGTGTGGAGTGACATATCCACTCAGCATATGCTCATGTTCAAACACACGCATGACTTCCCACCCGTGCGCATTCGCAGCTGTAAGTTCATGCGCCTTAATAAGCAGCTTGTCTGGTGCTATTCCGCCGTTTGCATCTCCTTTGTAAATGCTTCAGTTCTGTCTGGGAGCCAGCAGCCTTCATCTGCCACGCTGCTTGAAAGTGACAAGGAAAAACGTCTCACGATCATTCTGTTCACACTGCGCACTCATTTTCAGCCTAACTGTCCTTTTTCTTGTGCATTTCTGCAGCTGGCAGTGTTTGGAAGCGATTTGAGCCAATCATATTCATTCACCTTGTTATAATGTGTTGTTTTTTTGCCAAAGTGATTGGCACACAAAACCAACATTCTTGCTTTTCATTGTCTCCAAACTAGAACAGGATTCTTTTGTCGTTGTCCAACTGCATTAGATTAAATACTTGATTGTAGTTGCACAATGTTTGAGGAATGTGGAATATATATATTTTGAAAACAGTTTTTGTGAATTGAAAATTATGGCTAACCTTGAGTTATGAATATAAAAGTTCCTGCATTTTAGAATCACTTTAAAATCTATGTTATCAGGAGAAATTTTCAAAACGGTTTCCATTCTAAAATCAAATAGAATAGTTCCCTCAGCACCAAGCAAATGATGGGAGAGAAGTGTAGGGTCAGAGAGTGTTTGGGCCTGTGTCATGTCAAGTGTGTAGTATAGTTACAAATGACTATACTATTCTCTGAAATTGGGAGGTATCAAATATCAACTAATCGCTAATTGAAATTTAGTAATCCATAATGGTCTTTTGAATCCTTGATGGTTGTAAACATGACAATACTAATTAATCATTTATCGCAGCCCTACTATGAATCAAAGTCTATCGGTTTCAAGTCATTAGACGTATTACTTTTTCAAAATAACGTTGTCCATCGTGGTGTTTGTTTTGCCATGTTTGGTTGTCCATCCTCTCCAAACATAAATCCATGAGCTGAGAGTGGGCCCACCTGCTAGGCCTGGCGCTCAGGCTGCCTCCCTCTGCCATCTGCTACCTGGGAGTGTTCTGGGCGAGTGCGGCTACAATCAGACTTATCTTATCAGTGAGACACATCTGGTCCTGTTCCTGTCCTTCAAACGGTCACTGCACCTCTCTCCCCCATCCCCTCTGTGTGCGTCGAGGAATCCACAGATCACTGGCTGTATGTGCCGCTCTGAGCTGGAGCTCCATTAGAGAGGTGTGTGGTGAACCCATGAGCGGGTGATGAATGAAAAGTAGTTGAGGGAATACTTGCTTTTGATTACCAATAAAATGTGACCGTGACATAAAATGTTAATCCGCAATCTAAAAATTAAGGCGATGTCAAAAACTAAAATAGTAAGGTCATATTACAAAACAAACCTAAAAGCAATACTGCGAAAAATATAATATTTTAATAAACAAGAATTTAAAAACAGAACTCAACGAAAAGTAAAGCACAAGAATCGAGGACGAAGACAAGAAACACAGAACAGGTATTTAACTGGGAGACACAGGTGTAAAACATCAGGGCGGGGCAGGCAATCAACAGACCAGGAAGTAGATCTCAAAAGGACTCAGGAGAACAGAGAGTACACAATGCGACAGGAACTTAAAATGACAACAATGACAAGTATTTCATTTTTAAAACAGAACATATTTCTGACACAATGGGACATCATACTATTATGCAATGTAAATATTTTCCATTATTAATATCTTAAAGATAGTCCCTCCCCTTTGCAAAACTGTGGCCCGTAAGATTTGCTGGATGAGAATTGTTTAACCAAAGATGAAGGGCCTCATCACCAGGAGCCTGTGGGGGTGAGCATGGACAGGTCTAACCAGCGCTAGCCTAGCCTTAGCCATCTGTAAACTCCGGTCAATCATCCTTTCCCTACTTCTGGGTCTGATCTGACAGGCAACAGTTACCTTGGCTTTAAACCGTCCAACCAATGAGCGAGAAGGGGAGGCGGGTGTTGTAGGTAGGTGTCGGCTAAACCTGTGGTCATCTCAAATTTTCTCTCTTCACAATTTGAAAAGTAACTGATCACTTTAAAGCTTAGTTAAACACGACATTCTGTGAAAACTAGAACTTGGGACTGTATGTCGTATCTAAATTTAAGCTGATGTAAATCTACATGAGGAATCTATGGATAATAATGGACTCAAATAGATCAAATCAGTAACATAAAATGATTTTTACCATCTAAAAAACACTGCCAGGATGAAAAATAAGGTGTCTTAAGCAGACTTGGATATTCTTATTCATGCATCTTGTAGTTAGACTACTGAACTTGCCAAATACCAGTTCCTCAGATTGAAACCATGGACCCGGAGCACAACAGAAAAAGTTGGCCACTGGTACCAATGAACCAAATGAATATCCTCACTTTATTACCATCATGTTCTTTCACGTTGTACATTTCTACCGTGCAATATGTAAAAAGTGGTCGGCTTTTGAATGATTGAAAATGCATGAGAGTGTAGGTTGTTACTCAGTATGCAAATCCATAAAAGGGGGGAAGGGGGTTGTCGTCATGAGAGTTAAAACACCCCACCTTCCCCGCTCTATGGAGGTGCATTTTGAGGTAACATGCAGGTGTGTGTGTGTGTGTGTGTGTGTGTGTGTCAGCTGGGACGAGGTGACACTGGCACAAAGCCAAGTGTGTGTGCCGTGCATGGAGCAGAAACCACAATAGGATTAGCTGGATTACAGAAATACAGGCGTCTTACAGGAGGACACCAACGTAGAGCAGGAGAAAAACAGCCTCCGTACATTTTTACACTGCACCTAAGCTTTGGTAATGACACAACTCTGAATACTGCAGGCGCAATATATTTATATTCAGTACTTGAGGCGCAACAATCCTACAAAGGCTGTGATTGTAAATCCACTCCAATCACTGCATATATTCACTGATAAAATATATGGTATGGTTCTGATGCATGTTCTGAATTCAGTACAGTGTATGTGTGAACTGTAGCAGCTGGAGACTATGACAAAATGACAAACCCTAATTGTATTACAGTGGTGCAGAGCCTGTAGGACATGCGTTACTGAAGTGGGAGCTTAATTTTTTGTTTCAATATCGGTTCGTCATCCCATGCTAATCTGTTTGATCCAAGCTCCTGAAAGTCTAAAAGTTCCTGTCTCAGTCCTATAATAGTATGTAATTGTACCGCTTTGACATCACTCTAGTTCTGCACATACTTTTGTATTAGAAAATTCTAAAGAGAAATGCAGGTCTTGACAATCACATGTCTGTTGTTATAGCTGTATGTAAGATGTAAGTTTTCAAATTTGGAACAAAACAAGACAAACTTTGGCGGTAGAATAGGATAGGCCGATAGCACTATTTACCATATTATACTTACACAGTTTTCAATTATTGCTAAATGAGGATGTGTTTGAGGGTTGGATGTTCAAAGAGGTGTACATTATCTTGTTTATACAGTAATGTTATTTTAGTTAGCAGTGCAACAATTCAGAATTCTGTTCCATGCTAACAATTGTTCACCTAATATACTGGGATTACCGACCTCATCCTCCTCCAACATGCAGCTGTTTAATCTACTAAGGGTGGAATGTGATCTTATTGTAAAAACATGCATCCACAATCACTTTTCATTCCTATTTTAGTCCTGGTTTAGTCCTAGTTTATCTCTTTGATTAAGTTTTCCTTGTTTGCAAGTGTTTTCCACCTCTCCCTCTGACCTTCCCTCTGACCTTCTTGTGTTAGAGGCAAACACTGACTGGCTGTAGTGCCCATGCACCGGCACAAACGGACAGACATGTCTTGCTTTGTTCAAGGTGAAACTTAAAAAATTAGAATATTTCAAAAAGTTAATTTACTGTAATTCAACTTTTAAAGGTATACTAATATAGGACGTATTCTACTGATTCTGCAATATATGGCAAGGCAAGGCAAGTTTATTTGTATAGCACAATTCATACACAAGGCAACTCAAAGTGCTGAACAAAACAAGAAAGCATTAAAATCATAAATAATCACATTCTGATATATCAAGCCTTTATTTGTGATGACGTTGATAATTGGCTCACAGCTTGTAAGAAAAAATTAAATATCTCAGAAGTATACCGAACAAAGGCTTGGCATATGTCACTTTGCATGTTTTAAGTCTAGATCATATATTTGGTTTCACAAGTTGACTTACAGAAACAAAAGGACTTCTCAACGCTTTTATTAATTACAAAGTTTCACCTGTATATGATCATTTTGAGAAACACAAGCAGTGGTCAATTAGCAAAAGAATTCACACTGGCAACCCACTGAAAATTTCAAAAATTTCACTGCCAATGTTATCCAAAGAAAAATTGTGACACCTCACCAAAAGTAATAGATTTATTATCCAACCTGTGGCAGTAGACTTTTGAAATGAAAGCACCTTTTCCATATACAGTGGCAGGCGTGCAGGTGTGATATGACAGCTCTGAATCTCTTCTGGTGTGCAGGTTGGAATAGAAGAAATGCTGAAAATGTGGGAGAGCCAGCCCAGAGTCATACGGTTCGCACGAAAACATCAGAGGAGCCTGGTGACCAACGGGCTGCGGAGACAGAAGAGAGATTGGGTCATCCCACCGATCAACGTGCCGGAGAACTCTCGCGGACCCTTCCCTCACATGCTCGTCCGGGTGAGTGGCACCTCCTGTGGTCCTGTTTCTACATCATAACATGCACATCGTAGGAGCCAGCAGCGCTTTGAGGCCCTCTAGAGGTCATGTTGCAGTAATTTAGGTAGGAACCTTTGCACCCGGGGGAAGTTGCTAGACGGACGAGACACATGTTTGTCAGTATCTGTGGTGTTTGATGAGGTACGGACCTTTACGTTTTTGTGTTCTTTATAGAATGAAATTGACTATTTAAGATTTTATTATCAATAGAGAAATTGTTTTAACCAGATTCCCTCAAAGACGTTCGTTCACTAATATGCGTCATCAGGAGAAGCGGCTCAAATCAGTACTAGCTGCTACACGGATCATTCATGATATTTATCAATCTATATTTTGACTCCATCTGGAATGTTTTGTCTTTGTCACGTCATTAGATTTTTTCTGACGGAATTGTGAGAAAGAGAGACCACCTTAACTCAGCCAATCATTGCTCAGCTCAAAGCATTGAATAGTGAATCATGTTTCAAGCCTGAAAATAGGCCTTTCAAATGGGTTCTCTAAAAATTAGCTTTCTATAGCCATACCCTGGTTCTTGGAGGTTTGTCAGTATTTGTTTCCTAAATTGGCTTGCAGCACATAACTGATAAACACTCTTTTTTCAATCTAGTCCTATGCGTTCTTTAATATTTAAAAGTGGCTCTTTGGATTCTAAATACGGAGGAAATGAAACATACTCCAATCTAACCCTTCCAGCACAAAGAACTTCAAATACAAGCCCCATCGATTATTTTCTATTTAACTAAAAGCCACATTTTAAACCCGGGATGTGGATGCTTACTTGCAAGGACCAACAACAATCTGGACTGCTGTAGATAAGACGTTCCAGCGCTTTTACCAGCACAGATATGAAGGCCACTATCTTGTCCGAAGCCTGGAGACACCTGTATGTTCCATCACACGCGCCCGCAAGCCTAATAGCTGCTCCCGCCTCGCGCTAAGGTGGGGATGTGGAGCCATTTGTCTGCTGCACCTTTAGGCACCACAGGCAGGTACAGGAGGAGAACTAATCCTTACTCAGAAAGCCCTCCTCCCTGCAGTTGGTCTCAGTAGAACAGATGTGGGGATTACTCAAGGCGCTCTATCTCTGCTGGCTTTGCGCTGGGTGGACATATATCAACATTGTTTATTTGCACCGAATACATTTACAGGTTAACATGGCTTTGCTTGGGACAAGAATATTTTGTTGTATGCGGCAGCTTCTGACTATAGCCGTCACACACATGTACACACAAACTTACACACACATACGTGCACATAAACAGCATCATAGTTGTACATTACAACCACACCTCTCATATGCAGTGTCACATTTGGACATGGCATCCTCTTATTCACATCTGTTATAATGTTTTTTTCTTTGTACTAATGGTCTTTGGCAAAAATCAGTCAACGATGTTTGCCCCTTGTCCAGTTGTTAATCGTCCTAAAGAGGACGGACACCTGGCATTGACAGTTTTACTGGACTGTTTCGCTTCCGTTTATTTCTTTCATAACCAAAGCAGCCGCAGAGCCAAAGACAAACACACAGACTTCACAGCAGCAGCACTCCTCTGCCCCTATCTCCATTCTCCCAAGAAGCAATACTTGTGCGCTGTGTTTCCAATTGACTGGAGATGTCAATTTTTTTGTTAAATGTAGAGGTGATTTCCAACATCGCCCAGAACACACATTCAGTCGTATTGAGAGTTAGAAAAAAACACTATCACTCTCACAGAAATCCTTGTTAAGTACTTTAGTTTACTCGTTTTACCTACTCAGCTAAAAAGGTTCTCAACCCCTTATTTAGCAATACAAATACAGGAGTATTATATACTATATTCTTAAAAAATATTGTTGATTTTTTTTTTTTTATTGAGCATTCATGCCCATTTGTAGTGTGAGGTCTCCACTTCTCAATTGCAGAAATCACATCATGATCATAATTGTGAGGTGTATTGTATTGTGCTATCTTTTTTTTAATGTTGATGACGAATATGGCTTACTGCCTCTCAACTCCTCCCCCATCTCCCCTTCTCTTCCCTCCTCTCTCCTCTTCCCTCCCCTCCCCACCTTCTCCCTCCCCTCCTCCCTCCCCTCCTCCCCCCTCCTCACCACAGTCTGACAGCCGGTTGACTGGAATGCATCGTTTGGAATTCAAGCTTTATTCGTTCTCTCTCAAAAGTGGCCATGAGCAACATTTCAAAGCTGACACATGTCTTTTTGAAACCCATCGCTTCTCTTTCGGGTCGTGTTGAGGTTTTGGAGCGGTTTTTAGATTATGACTCTGCAGGTAACTGAAGACCAATTAACCCCGGGAGTTTAATTAGAGAGTGTCAAAACAGATGGATGACCGAGACTAGAGGGGTGTATTAGAACTCGCTTTCTTATGTGCAACAGAGAAACCGCAGATGTGGCTTCTCTGGAACTTTGATTAACCCCATGAACAAAAGCACTTTCAATCGCACACAAACATCTGCCTTGCTCACGCCCATAAAGCAGATGTAACGGCGTACAGTATGTACAAGGACTTTCACTTCACGTGGAGATGCATTAAGGTGGCAGACGGTTAGGGATATTTGTATTGCTGGTCTGTCATTTAATTGGGTTTTTCTTGGGTTTTGTGGGGGTTAAAAAGGCTGTAGACACGCAACCGCCACATCTCTGTCCTTCAGAACCAGAGCAGTCTATGCAATATTAAACTATAAAACACATATTGCAATTTTTTCATTAGGTTTATTGGAGCAAGTGAGTTGTCATACAATGTAAAGAAAGATAGAAGCACAACTATCCATGGTGAAAGAGACACATTCTAAATTTAAAAAAACATTTCAAGCTTTTAACCATGTTGCAACATTGTTCTCTAATCAAAAACAGACCTGGATTTGTTTTTAGATCCGTCCATTCCAATATCAGAGACGTCTGGCACAAACATGTAACTCCACCTCTAATAGTTCCTGTCTCTATCCTGTAATTGCATGATGTCATTGTACCACTATGACATCACACGCGGAGTACTTTTCCGTCTTCTAAAAGTGTCAGTGTTTGCAGCCGGTGATTTTCAAAATGGAAAAAAGGCTAAAGAATTCTACACTTGCCTCTGGTGATAGCACAGTCTTATTTAGTATAGTTGATACTTGTTTCACCACATAGTTTCTACTGAATATATTGATACGCATTCTATAAATTACTAATTATATTTTATCCTAATGTTTTTCAATGGCCAAAAATAATGCATGATATTTATTTTTCAAGTCTATGTTAAGTCTTCATAATAAGTCTGCATAATTCAGGCTGCGCAATTGACAAATGTCACACATGGAGGAGGCCCTGGGGATGGACTGGGCGTATCTGTGAGACCGCTGCCACTGGCGACCTCTAGCACTAAAATGGTGAGCTGGTTTTTGTTGATATATTAGTAAAGCCTGATTACGGCTCTGATCACATCTAAGCTCATCTTCTCAAAGCAGATGGATTCAACACATGGACATAGTGAGAGGACATTTACAGAGATTGGGATATGCATACAGTGACAATGAGAAGAAGGAGGAGCCCACATTAGTCCCACACCATTTGCGTTGTTGTCACCTCGGACACGTCTCGAAAACCTCCTTCGCTGGGTCTGATGAGGCAGCACTGATGGAACACACCTGAACATAGGGACAAAAGAACTGGCCATTCACACAGGCTCCCAGGGCATCCATACAAACTCATAAAGCAGAGTTACATTGTGCTCCACAGACACATGTACATGGCTACTGTATACTGTATATTCAGTGAGGAATTCGCATTTTTCGGAGTGATGCACGGTAATGGAATGTTTATATATTTTGTAGTGACTTGTATAGGTTTCATGGTTTTGTGCACAATCTCAGACTGGATGAGCAATATTAAACGTTATTTTTTTCTTTCACCATTTGACACCATCGTACTAATTTAATTTCGTACTAAGGTCTGGACGGATTTGCTAAAAAAAAGTTTTAATCTGAGTTTGCTGTGATGTATGTAATGGGCCCCAGTGAGTTGCTAGCATTTAGCCTATAGCTTTAGCCCTCTCCTTTGCCACAAACAGTGCCCGTGGGGAGTAGAGCTACAACATCTTTACCAGAAATGATATTTGCAAAACATTCCTTTTTCTCTGGTTTCAAATGGTTGATATTTCCTGTACTATCGCATTCTCCGCCATTGCCAAACTACTAGGGTTGCCAACTTGGGAACAAAAAAATAAGGGACACCATTTGGGTGGATCGGGTTGAGCACTTTTTAGTCCTAATTTCAATCTACACAGTAATCATGGAATTCCATAATCACCGTTTTTAGAATGTAATTTATTGACTACATATACAAAAAACAAATCCTTAGGCAAAAATGAAATTGAATAAATAGGTGGAACTCTTTGGCTGGTCAAGGTCTTAATGCATTATTATTAGTAATAAAAAATATATAAAAAGACAAATGCTGTAACATAAATTATTTATGAATGTTACAGTAAAAAACCATTTACTGTAAAAGCAAATAAAAAATAAAAACATATGTATTCATTAAAAAACTCACAAATCAAAGTCTGTAGCAGTTAGACATGGTCATTATTTATAGTGTCTGAGAGTTTTGTGCGTGTTCATGACTTCAGTAAAAGCTATTGTTCGTTTACAAAGCTGGTCTGGACATTTGTTGATGCCAGTGAACTGGATTCAGAGGATTTTTCTGCATTAAAACAGCGCACTGGATTTGAAAAATGAACGTAGAGATGATCATTTTAGTACAATAACTTTTGTTTAGTAAAGTAGCTTTCGTGAGCTTTTGACCGCGGAAGTCCGAATCTGGGAATATGACGCTACTTTACCAAACTTCTGCCGTGATGGTGCTGCGGGCATGGCCCACGCCGGTGATTGTCAAAATTAAACCAATGTATGTGATCAAGCCTACGCCCCTTTGACACTGATTGGCCGAAAGGTCGACGCTTAAACTGTGATAATTGTGTGCGT